CTAGGACAAATGTTGTTTTTTAAAGTAGCTTTGGCAACTACTTGAAAATGAAAGTTTCAATTGTCCTTTGTCTTCTGCAGTTGTCTGCTGGACATGTGTTGAACTGTAAACTTCAGCTGTGTTTGGCACAGACTTCAGCAAAACCCCAGTATTTCCTTACTCACTGCACAGCCAGTCCTTCTCTCACTTAGGAAATGCTAGGAAAGCAATTCTTTCAAACAAGAACTTGGAGCACATTTCACCGCAGTTTGTTCAATGCCTTGATTTTGACTGTCAGCTTTTATAAATATTTAGCCCAAAGGACTTCTCAAACTAAGGGGTCTACTAGTCTTGAGTGATCAAGTTTATTCTGAAGTAACTAAGAAAAATTCTAGTTAAGTTTACAGCTGAACTTAATTTGGTTCTGGGTGTACAATGCTCAAAGAACCCACAGAAAACACCTTACAGTGCCTGAATCGAGAGTCACTGGGCTGGCAGGTAACAAAATCAGGATTAGAGTCCTTCTAAGATATTGAGTACAGATAGATCCAGCTAATCTTATTTTTGAACTGCAATAATTTTTAAAGGTGTCTTGCTTGTACATGTGTTTACGTACATGACGGGCACTCAGTTTTCCACATAAAATATGAAAATGCATCTACCCTCTGCCTAAATTTGAATGACTTCAGCCATCTCATTGCAAAGATGTACCACACATTTCTGGCCATTCCAAAGGAAAAAACAGCACATGCTGATCAGAATACTTAAATAGGAAAACTGCTTTCACCGTGGCCTGGTTCAGTTACTCTAAAAGAATTTCCCTTACTTTTGGTCTGCGAATTTCCACCAATCAGCAGATCAGGAACACAAATGTGGCAGCAGCTGGTAAGGCTGTAAGGATGAGTCATCAAAAAAAAAAAAGAAATCAATTTAACTGGAGGAAAAAAAAATAGAGGAATCTGGATTTAGGAAATCAAATGACCAAGGGATCAGCTGGCTTTATTCACTGAAATTTGCTCCAGCCAGCACTTTCTCCCAGTAGATCTGTCCATAATGACTGTAGATGAAAGCAGAAGTGCCCACATGGAACATTCAGCTAATATCAGCAAAAGCTTGGTGGAGTCAGCCCTCTGCACCCACAGCTATTGCTGGTGTATTTTCTGTCAGAGATGCCACTTTAAGATTTTTATGGGTACTAATAACATAAATATTAGCATGGTCTAGATGAAGGTGGGCTTTCCAGTACAATACTAGAAGTGTCGGGCTCCTGCTAGCTAGCACATCCATTGGCTGTTACTATGTCTGCAGGAGAAATACTGTGAATAACAGTGAGAACTCAACACAGGACCGATTTCATCACTCTAACCATTAACCACAGACACCTGAGGTTTCCTAAGATGGCCAAGTACTCTTCTTACTGGCAAACATATTTGAAAGATCAGCTGCAATCACGTGGCTTCTACCCAGCTCTCATATGGCTTCTCTTAGGACAGAAACAGTCAGATTTCTTTCCAAAAAACCTCCTGAAGACCTAAATCCTTACAGCCATACATAGGCAAAGGAGCAGTTCTAGCTGCAATACTGAGGGTATAAGCAATAAGACACTAGCAACTCATTCTAAGAAAGGGCAATTTTCTACAGTATGTTATAGTTAATCAGAATTGAAATATTTCTTCACTGAAACTACTGATACATGTGGCAAATCAAGGTACTGCTTTCAAGTAGCAATTCCATTTCAACAGATGCAGAGGTTCTGTAGTGTCTTACATCTGTCACAGGATCACAGCAGAAGGGTGCAGGCAATGCAGCTCCACGTTAATTCTAATTTTGATGTTAACTATGCACTGGAATGCAATGAATATTTCTGAAATGCAGCATTACCTTTCTCTAAATACTAGTTTAATGTAATATTCTATTGCCAATTCCTTTCAACCTGTGTTTACAGAAATTAGCCACTTTTGACAGATATGACAGATTAGGCAGATTTTGACAGATACGTATTTTGCTCCTATTTTTCATAAACTCTGTTTTTTCATTCACAAACAGGGTGCTCAGTGATTTGATTTTTCTTGTGCCCCACAGCACTATGCTATAAATCTTGAATCACCAGCTGGAGACTAAAAGCTCTTCTGTGTGGTCTGACATTACAGATTGATGATGCCTGACCAAAAAGACAGACGGGGGATCCTCCTGGTAATAGGAAAACACTATACCTTTCAACAGCAGTAAGGGGTGGAAACAAAAGGCTTAATAAACCAAACCAAGGAGACATTTTTAACTACCTAAGCCATTTTAAAGACTAGCATATATCAAAGCATAAGCACAGTACAATCAACAGTCAGTGTTCAATTTAAAACAACTGAGAATTACAGCTGCAGTTTAGATGTACTAATCACAACTAAAAGAACACTTTCTCAAAACAGCACATTTCTTGATTATGTGATAACCCTGAATCTTTTCCCTTAGCAGATAAAACGTGGAACAAAATATTTTCTATAGAAGGTAGCATTAAGAATACGTGAGTGCTGAGGGAAAGATTTATACACTCTAGAAGGCCCACATTCATATATATAAGGGATGTCTGGGTGAGGAATCTCAAAGTAAGGTGAAAGCATAGACAACTACAAGTATATTTTGTATGCAATTGAAGTATATGAAGACATAAAAAGTGATTCTGGACTAAAAATCTGTTTCTTCATTAAGAATCACGGCTATGCAGAACGGCTATTTCCTCTTGAACGAAGAAAGCGATCAAGTTAGAGCAATAACTAAAATGTTGCTTCAGCTTACCCAAAGGGATCACCAACTACAAGAAAAGCGACATCACAAACATCAGCTTCTTTCAAAATGCTATCTGCTTCTTGTTCCACTGTTTCTCGATCAGCCAAAATCAGTTCTTTTCCATAAAACTCCTCCTGGATATCAAAATTAACAAGAAACAGCAATAAGACACTTGGGAGTATATTTGTATCTCCTGGTATAATTATTCATGGATACCGGAAAGGAGAACTGGACAATGATCCCTAGCTGTTTTACCCACATCTTAAGAGAACTGTGCTTCCCCATGCTAGAACACTCGAGGTTCCCATTATGCAGCTCTTAAGCTGACAAAAATTACTGTTAATCATATTACTCCAGTAAGGACTTGGCTGGAAATGTAGCTCAATCACACCCCCATTCAGAGCTAGTAGGTGGGCTCTAGGCCTAGTAATTACACCACTCGTCCTATTGCAGGGCATCCTTTCTTACAGCTCAGAGTCAGCTGCTCAGGCTTCTTATAATGGTGACATCAAATCAGATACAAATATGACGCTAGCTATACCATAACCTTATCTTTACAGCTTTCATGTTTCCTTAGTACTTTGCAACTAACCGCGCTTAAGGAATAAATTCATACCAATCTTTCATTTTCAGTTCTTTGTACGAAATACTTTGCCACATATATGGGTAAATACATATTTGATTGTGTTCACCTTTCTTCAGCAGCTCACTAATCACTGGGCCTCTTCCTATGTTTTAAACACCTTGTTCGCATGTTAGAATCAACTTCAGTTAGTTACAGAAACATGTTTCCTGACCATCCTGAGCATATGTCTACCTAAGTAGACTTTTCACATTCTCTTTACATGATCAAAGTCTGTTGTTTTTCTGTTTGATTGTTTTTTCCCAGGGCATAGATCAACAAGGGTGTTTTGTTCTGAATAGCACTCAGCAAATTTGGGCAGCATGACAAATACTAATGGCTACATAAAACTAGTAAGTCAGTTATAGTCCAGAAAGATTTTACTCTTGACTTCTCCCGAGTCCTCAGTGCTAGTTTCATCTTTGCCCATAAGCAATTGATGAAAGAACCATAATAGTTGTACAGAACAGAAATAGTGCTTCATTCCAACACCCACCCAACAGATACAGCACTGGATATCAGACCTCAGCTACTGGGTTTCATTCCCTTTTTAAAATGATGCTCCGAGACTGCTCCACAATGCAAATCAAAGCATACTGATTGCAGATCTAAAAAGCCCTTTCTTGACCTAAACTAAAATGTAGACTCATAGGAGGTGTGGCATCAAAACATAGAAGGCTGGTTTAGACAAATTCTAATGGCTTCTCATTAAAGTTTTAGACAGGCCACCAAGCCAAACTACACTGGGAATCTAATCTTTTTGTTGAAGTATTTAAACGGTCATTTTTGCTTTGCGATTTTCCAACCAGCCAACAGCAACAAAAAACATTTCCTCGGGATGGATTCACTTCAGTTCAGCCCACTTCAGTGTGCCGAATGGAGCAGCCAACGTGAGCGCCCGGCCGCATGGCAGCACACACAGGGGCACCATAGACAGCCCTGCCCTCGTTTTTATCACCGGTTGTCCAGCAGGGCGCTACCCAGGCCTGCCTGCAGCCCACCCGGACAAAGGGAGGCCAGCAGGCAGCACAGCGCCTCGGCCTGACAGAGGCTCAAGGCCCCCGACGTGTTTTCTGGTGTGTTCTTTTATTTTTAATTCGGAGCAGACATTTTTCTCGCCAAGCTCTCCAACACCTCAAGCTGTGCACGTGTGGCTCGTACTCTGAGATGAAAACTCGGGTCGAAACGCCAACGCGACCCGTAGGAGGGCGGATTTTATCTTCTCCCAACTCCTATAAGCACAGCGAGCGAACACTGCGTGCGTGCCGTTTCTGAGGACGCGCCGTTACTTTTCCCGTTCCCGACGCCGTGCAGGCAATGCGGCGCGCAGACGGGCCGGCAGCACCGACCTACCAGCGCCTCCTTCCCCACGGTGAGCATAGACGTGTAGGCCTCCAGGTATACCCTGCAGCAGCGCCGCACCGCCTCTAAACCCTTCACCGTGATGTCCTTGGCGTCGCCCAGGCCCAGCCCGACTAGATAAAGCATGCTGGCCTGGGAGGGGGGGTTTGGCGGTTGAGCTGCCGGGCCTGATTTTGCTGCCTCCCGCCGACACGGAAGAGGAACGAGCGCGATCACCACAGCCCCCCCACCCCTCCCGCCGCCGCCGGTGGCAGTAGCCCCGCCCCTCCGCGCGTGGCTTCGCTCGGCGCGCAGAGGCCGCCGGGAGCTGCGTTGCGCGGTATGGCTCTTGTTGGGCCGGGCGGCTGCCCCGCGGTGCTGCTCCGTAGTGGCCGCAGCATCCCGGTGCTGGGGCTCGGTAAGTGCCCGCCGGTACAGCCCGCCCGCCGCTGTAACGTGGCAGGAGGCGGCCGCGGGGCCCCGGTTCCCCCGGCACTCTGCGGCGGTGCCCGTGCGCTGCCGGTTCCCGGCGGCCCCTACTTCCCGGCAGTTCTGCCTGCGGGCCCTGAGGCGCCGGGAGCAGCCCCGGCGGAACGCGTCCTCCTCGGTGGCTGCTCTCGCCTTGGGCTGCGGCGGTGCTGAGCGGCCGGAGAGCCCTCGGGCCTCATTAAGAGCTCGTGAACGTGTGGAAAAAGAGATTTCCGTGGGGTCGCATCTGTTCTGGCAATGCCAGTTGTGGTTTAGGAGGCCATTGTGTTAAGTGAGCAAAGGGCCGCAGGTTTACATTGCTTTTATTTATTGTAAGTGTGAAGAGTTATTTTCTCTCTTGAAGCCTTTACGCAGCATTTGGGGATTTTATTCTGCCTCTTTGGAATCTTTCCAAAATCCTCTTCCATCCACAGCACACTCTGCAGCACGAGGACCCTTACCTGTCAATGTGATGTGCTCTTATCGCAGGTTGGTTTGGTATCCCAGGATTTTAGATATTTCAGATAAACACACCCATCAGGGGCACTTACATGCTTTATTGGAGTTGTTAATTGCTCACACAAGTATCAAATAAAATGGCCTCTGTGCCCCTTTCAGCTTTATCTCACTTCAGAACAATGATTTAGGATTCTCATAAGTGTAAAGGAGGGCAAAGTTAGAGCTGAGGCTTTAGGAGCATGTTAAACCTCTTAAGTCAACAGGAGTTGTTTTTTTTAATCCATAAACACAGGATGGATAGCTAGAGCTGATAGTGCTCATTTCCGAGTACCAAAATCACTTGAGCAGAATTAAAAAGTCTTAGCAGCTCAGTTCATCAGCAAAGGGGTCCAAAAATCTACAACATGTTGATAACTGCTTGTACCATGTGCACGTATGCTCGTGAGGATATGGTATTATATACCCAAGGCATGAACTCCTCAGTTTAGCATCTATGAACTTTTTAGTTTAGTGTCTATTATCATTACTTGATGTAGCTGCCCCTCTTATAGTCCTTATACAATGAGCAAAAGGTTCTGTATTGTAAGGACTGGCTCTTTTTTTTCTTTCACTGAATTCCTTTGTTGAACCTCTTTTTATCAATTTAGTTGACTTAGAGATTTTTTTTTACAAATGCAGGAAACATGTAAATGATCCTTCTTAGAGAATGGATTCCGTCTTATGGCCAGTATGTTTCAGTATTTGCTGAACTGTATTTCAGAATTGTGTACAGAAACCTCACTTTTCCATTGGAGATTGTAATGCATGAAGATTGTAATACCAGGTGACTGGGAAAAGCAGGCTGAAAAAGTCTCCAGTTAGCATGCTGCTCGCTGTCCTTCAGTCATTTCAGTTTGTAGTAGTTTGACTGTCAGGCCTGAACTCAAACTTCAGTAAGTGGATAATGCCATGGCAGACAATTACATTTGAGATTTTCTGGCTCAGTGCTTTCTGCAGGGTGTAGCTTTCCAGAGGTTTGGTTCTTTGACCTCAATTCTCCGTTCTTGTCCTGACAGAGTAACACTCTGACAAATTTCTTATGTATTTTGTAGCTTTTTCAGCATCTTGTAATATGTAGGAACCAGTAAAGTAATTTGAAGATTTTCCTGACAAATGCTGAAAAACATTGCAGATTTAAAGGTAAAAAAATTAAGAGGTGTTTATGGCCAACACTAAATACCAAGATAGGCAGCCCAACACAATGGGATCTTTATCTGTGGATCTATGCTAGGTATTCCCATTTTATACTCTTCTACAAATTACTGGCTTATTTTTTATTACAACTTCACTGCAATTAACTAATATTTGCAGCTCAGAAAAATTTACTGTCATGGTTCAGCTTGGTTCCTGTGACGTTTACTGAGCAAAAATGTGGAGAAAAACTTTCCTGTATGAGGAGGCATTTTCTGTGTGGCATTTTCTGCGGGATTTAAGATTTGATTGTCTTATCCTTCTAAGCATGCAGACATAATTGTTATCTGTGAGTAAGTCGACTTCGAGGTGGTAAACATGCATGCTGCCTCTGTTGCTAGATAATCTTTCTAAAAGCTCCAAAGAAAGAGAGAGAGTTGTGCTGTGTTAAGATAGTCGCAGCTATCCATGCAGTCAGGCCTGCTGTGAGGCTGATTAGAAAGATATGCAAGTTATTTCCAAGTGATGAAACTTCTTTTATAGCAGTGAGAGTCAGCGTATGAGACATCTCATGTGCTTTCAGGCAGAGCATGTTAGCTCAGAGAGTGCCACAGCGGTCTAGAATAGCATTCTGTCACAAATATCTGCTTTTTCTGTTCAAGCTTCAGATATCAAAAGGTGATTTATTTCCTTTTTTTTTGTTAACTGAGCTTTCTGTTTGTCAAATTGATTTCCATTTCACTGTTCTCTGGGTCTTCCAAACATGTAGGAGAAGAGCAGTGAGTTTGTCAAGGCTTTATGCAATAGGGGAGACAGGAAAGCAGGAGGTTAAGCGGTCTTGTGTTAGTTCATAACCTCTAGTGAGAGCGATGGATTTGAGCACTGCACATTATGCAGCCTGCACAGCTGATGGTCAGTCTGAAGGCCCTTGGAACAGTATGCCCAAACCTGTACTTTCAGTAAATTCTATCTGTGTTTACTTACTTGCTTATTCCCATTCTTTGTTGTCTTTCTTCTGGCTCAATACAGCTCCATGGCTGCTGGCAGTGGTGAAACAAGCAGTCTTTCCTGAGATGCCTGCTGATTATTCTAAGGCAACCCAGCTTTCTGTTAAAGTATGCACAACAGCTAAGTTTTTATTTAGCAAAGCAAAATGATTTAGAACTTTTTGTTGTTTATGATGTAAACGAAAAGAAGAGACAGTAATCATGGGATTAAGTAAGCAGAGATTTGGTCAAATAGCATGTGATTTCCTGCCAAGATGTGTTAATAGTACCAAAAATATACATAGAATGTTTTCTTGTCAAGTTGTTTTCCATGTAAATCCTTGAAGAAGCTAGAATTAATTACAACTTGATGAGATGGAAAAAAAGATAACCTCGTGATCTCCTATCAAGGTATAAAATGAATTACAGTTTTGTATGGGAAGAGGCTTCAGGGAAAAAAACCCTAAATAATGAGAACCATGTTTTTGTACGTGTTGTGCCTTACTCATGCCACACAGCCTGTGTTTTATTACTCGCAGCAGTGTTTGTTACAGAATTCAGTAATGGGTGCTGCCATTATGCGAGGCGCTGCGACTGGGAAAGCAGGCAGGTGTGGCTCTGAGCAGCTTACAGTCAAACAGCCAAAGCCTGATAGAGAGAGTGAAAAAGAGTCCTAATGAATAATGTGGCGTGAGTTAATTTATAGCACTACTAACTTGCTTTAATTGCTTTTTTACTGCATTTATCTCTCTGTTGTACCAACTCAGGAGAATAATATGCACAGACGCACACACATGTGGTCCCTTCATAGTCAAGGGGAAGCATCTCTCCTGTCCTGAATTCAAGATGTTCCATATATGAGATTCCTGATGTTCATCTTGTAGCTTTATCTACAATGAATTGTAACTGAGTTTTTGCTTCCTTTGCTGATTGCAGTGTTTAAGTGTTTGCATTATTTGCATCACAACCATACAAAACTTATTGAATTAGTATTATTCTCAGTTTTTTCCAGGAGAGGTGATTGTTTTTGCTGTGTTGGTGGTGTTTGCTTGTTTTCCTGGAGAAAAATCCCATTACTCCACTTTCATTACCTCAAGTTTCTTTGTTGTCTTTTTTTCCTCGAAATGCTACATGTAACCTGAATTGTAATGCTGAGTAGAAGCATTTTAACATTTCCTTCCATTATACACTGCTAATGCAGTTATTTGCTTCTTGATTATTAACCATAAAGTTGCTCATAGTCACTGTTAATCTTAACTGTAGATAAAAAAAAAGACCCAGTTGGGACTGGAATCAAATGAGATTGTGCTTTTGCTTTTCAGTTTAATGGCAACAGAATCAAGCCTTCTCTTCTGGTTCTCCACTCTTACTGCTTTTCTTTTTTTGTGGCTCTTTTTTCCTCAGCTTCAGAAAATTTATGGAACAGTGGTCCTGGTACCAAGACCTATGGCACTCCTCTGTATTAATCTTACTCCGTAATAAGAATTGGCTGTTTATTTCTTCCCTTTGTTTTGTGCTTCAACCTTTTTTTTTCCTCTTCTTTTCTAATTCTGTCAGGAATTAACTTCTCAGCCATGGTTACCGAGTTTCCTTAATAGCCTCTTGTGATGAACAAAATGCCACATCTATAAATCTTTCTGTCTCAATTCATGTATGGTTTCAGAAAGTCTGACTCTGAGAAGCTGTACTTGAGCTTTGAGGGCCTCCATATATTTAACTTCTCTCATTTGTACAAAATGTGGCCGTATTCCATGTGGGTGGATGTTTGTAGACAGTACGGAGAAAAATGTGGCCTCTTCTAACTTGGTGAAACCTACTGGCTGTCACTTTGTGACAAATGTTGGTCTTACAGATGTGCACGTGATGCCAAAGAAAGGGATGGCCTAAATGTTAATTAAGTGCATTGTAGTGCCAATAATTACTGTAATGAAGGCCCACATTTCAACAATGAACTATACAGATTCTTGAGAGTCAATGGAGCCACAATCCCAAGGCTGGTTTTCTGTGGGAAGATGTTGTAAATAAAATGTAGGAGGCCCTAATGGTTGTACTTTTAAATCTTATATTTTTAATTGCTCATTAGATGAGCAAATTATTTGCAGCCTGGATGAAATGAAGAGAGAAATGAGCTCCAGCAGTGTTAAATTTTTACCTTTCGCCGTGTTCCTGTAACGTAGAAGAATGATACAAAACCTTATTGGGAAAAAAAAAAAAAAGCCCAGTTTTTGTCTTTCAGCCTTCATATAGCAGAGTTTATCTACCACAGATATTTTCTTTGCTGGAGCTCCTTAGCATCCACAGTCCTGGCAGCACTGAGTGGTGAAGTCGCATGCTG